AGATGACATCACACATACAAAGCTTTGTAATCAGCGAACAGGAGCTAAAGCTAACGGAGACCGGCAGCCAGGCCCTGCAGAGTTAAGATCAATTACATTCGTGTTGCTTCTAAAAACCTGATCTAATCAGCTCATACAACAACAGGCCACTCCAGGGGCTTTTTGTTCAATGGGTGGGTGATACTAATCATAGCCCCGGGAACTCAAAGGGGGCAACTGTCTCCTCCAAACATTCAGAATGAGACCTCATTGTGGTTAGAATAAAGGGCCTGAGAAAGGTGTGTTCCCCACTCAACCTATTGTCTTAACACCAGGCCAAAACACCAACAATACTTACACTGACCTATTTCTGCCAGCATATAAAAGTCTGAACCTGTCTCAGGTTAGGCTCCCAGGAAACTCCCAGATACATTTGAGCTGTTATGCAATACAAACAGGCCTCGTTCTTGGAAAAGCAAGGTTGTGCTGGCACATGCGAGATAGGGAATATAAACACTGTGTGCGCACATGTATGAGATTATATCCCAAATGAGGATAGGTGAGTTAGATAAGTGTGAACGGATTGTGCTTTATCCCAATGTGCCTGTAAAAAAAAAAAAGTCTGACCATGAGTATAATTAAGTTATGCGTGTTAATTGATTATTAGAGTTTAAGATAACTCGACTAACATTTGTCGAGTTCGTTTGAAAAAAAAAAATTTGTGTAACATGTTTCCTTTGTTTTCCCTTTCATCATCTTACAGTGGCCTAAATTTATCCTAAGACTTCCTGGACAGTCCAAACACCTAGGTTTAGAACCATTGGTTTAATGTCAGAAAATCATGAAACCATTTTCCATGGGTCATTGTGACACCTTCAAATTGCTGGCGCTGTCACACTCAGTCCAGTTAAAACATAAAGGACACATGAGAAGCTAGAACCAACAAGTCTATTTTTTTATGCCAACTGAGTGATCTACTTATTTCAGTAGTTTTCATTTAAAGCAGCAAGAGTTCTAGATATAATGTCTGTTAACCTGTATCTATTCTGTTGTTTCTTTAAACATTGTGCTTTCATGTGAATATTTGGACTATCTAAACAGTATAGATCGAAATGTTACAATTGTTGCTCTTGATTTACATATTGTAAAGTAATATTTGTCAAAATTGTCCATTTCTCCCTCTATAAGCGGTTTTAATGACTGAAAACGAAGAGACAAGATGCAATGCAAAAAGTTTTTTAATGCAGTAATTAGACTACATGGAGAGCGGTCAACAAATTAGAAGAAAGCATTTATACAAGTGGACACACGCAATGACTCCGAAGCAGAATACACAAATAAATAAAATATTTAAATGATCGGTCCCTAGCCCCCTATTAATTTACAGAAATACTGAATTCCATCACATTATATCTTGAACGGTGAGTGAAAGATTTGTAATCAATCTTAAATCCTCTTTAGTAATTAAAAGCCAAAATAAGCTGTCATGAACTCCATCTCCCACAAGTCAATGCAGCATCGCCAGTGGTACAGACCTGCTGTAATAAAAAAGGAGATTATGTGCTTAACTTTAGCCTATAATACGAGCGGGTTCACTGGTGTTCTATGTTACTATGAAGCATTATGTGCTCATCTGTAGTTATTGAACACTACACATTAGCTCTTACGTGTATATATATATTATAACTTTTTGGGTTAGGGGTTGGATTCAGACACTGATAAGCTGGGGGAAAAGTTCATTAGCAAACATGTCTTCCCAGGAGCTCTCTGAGCACAAGGGAGAGGACATGCCGCTGAAAGGGGAAGGGGACCCTTCGTATCCGGAGTCGCTGTAGGTGTCCGCCAAGCAGGCTTCCTTATCCAGGCCGCTCAGGGCAGGGGAGGAGGCAACGGAGAAAAAGTCATCCACCTGACTGTTACAGCTGGGGATGACCACTTCCTCCGGCTCGTCTTTGATGCAGACCGTCTCCTCCTCGACCACCACCACCTCGTTAACAGGGAAGTTGGCCTCTGCGATCTTCTCGTCTTCTTCGCTCTCCGAGTCGCTGCACTGCCCGCTGCTCACCTCCTCCACGGGCTTTGTGTAGATGTGGTCAAAGTGGATCAGTTCATTAAGGGCCTCCAGCTTAACTGATGGGGACCCCAGAGTCGCAGGTGTGGTGGCAGGTACTGGGTTCCCCCCTCCGACCAGCTGCACCTGCGGCTCCTGGCACTCCTGTTCACAAGACTTGAGGAACAGCTCTGGGTCAAGGATGTCCAGAATGCCCAGTAGCAAATCAGACTAGTGAGGAGGGGGAGAAAACAGGAGATTAGCCTAGTAACCCATGACCTGACTCTGGTGTTATTACAGAGCTTTCTGAGTAACAAGAGTTTAAATCACTGACTTACCTCATTGTCTGTAGAGTCAGAACTGTCTGTATCCATTGAGAGGTCTTCAGATTTAGGGACTGCTGGGCCTGCACCTGCTGCGGAGGCACACATAGCCTGAGTGCTGCGGACTCAGAAGACCCGATCCCCAAACCTGCTTCGTTCTCGGTGGACAACAAACCCTGAACCTGTGACAAAAAAAATAAATAAAAAAACATGGGAAAAGTGTGAATTAAAGTTACTCCACTCAAGACTGACAAGAACCACACGCTAAACCCACCCCCTTCTTCAGTCTGCATTACAATCTCACCTTCTCTTTTGAGTCAAGGGTGTCCAACCCAAGTCTCTGTCTCAGTTCCTCATTTTCTGTCAGTAGGCCGCTCGTCTTTTCCCGAAGCAGCCTGTTTTCGATGTAAAGTTTCTGATTCTGCGGGGAGCAGAAATGAACAGATGTTTGAAACTTTGCAACCATTAATTGGGAAGTGATGCGTGAAGTGTCTAGGCTGAAGATAAACCAGCTAGAAACGAAACTGCACCGAACAGAGGAAGAGAATTAGCTAAGTTTAGTTTTTCCCCATGCAACAAAAAATAAAAATGTATTGCAGTGTATTTGATATGATTATAGCTGTTTAATGACATTATTGTAGTGTGAAATTGCCTTTGTGGACGTATGTTTGAGTTGTACAATATTGGATGGTGAGGTGGGGACATGAGGAAAGTGGGTGATGGTGGGTTGGGAGTTAAACATAGGATCTTCTTGTATGAAGGGACCCTGCATTCTTAGCTACACCCCTCTCAAGACGTTAAGAAAATAAAATAAATTACCTCCAGCTCCAACTCTAGGACTTGCTGCTCCAGCTCCCCCATTTTGGCTTTTTTCCTGTCTCTAGCTGTCTGAGCGGCGACTCTGTTCTTGAGTTTCCTGAAAGAAAGAGGAAAAAAAACAGGAATATAACACATTCTTTCCATGATGCTGACTAAGCCCCCGACATGACTTGTGTTCACAGTACTGCGCAATCACCGGCCATGTTCCTGCCACGCAGGCATACCAGGATATCAGTGTCCTGCTCAGCGGAGCCGGGCGGGTCCACGGACAGTCCACATCACTCAGATAGCAGCCGGACAGGCCAGTTCAAAGTCCGATGGTGATACAATAAATGCGTTTATGTTTATGGCATTTCAGTGCTTCGTGAGGCAATTTCAGAGAGCTTAGATGACCTAATTATAATAGTAGATGATGCAACATTGACCCTATTCCTCTGAGCTGTGATTTAAACGTCAAATCTCTACTATTGTTCGACAAATGGATCAATATCTTTGGGCGTGTCCCTGTGGTGAGCTCTTGAACAATGGCCGGATTTTACGCTTTAAAAAAATATATCTTTTTACCCGCGGATATAATGCAATATAAGGGATATTTTTTGTGAAACTAACCTGCGAAGTGCTTTCTCCTCCGGACTCAAGTGTGTGAGCCTCTGTCTTTTTCGTATGGGCGGCCCCGCGGAGGAGTTGGAGTCTGAATCCGACGACGCCTGGCTTGCTGGCGACGGTAAAACGACCGAGATGGGCCGGCTGAAGCCTGTCTGTGAGCCGTTAGAAGAGCCGGTCTGTTTCCCGGATATCAGGAGCACTTTGTGGGCTCCCCCGGTCCCTGCTGCTACCACCACCATGTTGTTATATCCTACTGGCGCTGTCTGAAATCAGAAATAACCGGGTATCCTTATTGAATTCAGTAGAAACCTTGAGGTTCCCCTGGTCACCCGGTCCCCGGTAATTCTCAACTGTTGAACAAGATGGGCTGCGCCTGCGATCTTTTTCTACTATCGTGGTGACAGCTGATAGGTTCCCCGCTGCTCTGACGCAATCGGTTCACGGCATGTGATTGGCCGACGTGCTGATGCAACGTTAAGGTTCTGCTTGCAAAATAAACGCACGTAAAGTTCCTTGTAAGTGTAATTTCCCGTCAAGGCACTCACCAGGACTCGGTGCCAATTTCTGTTTCGAGACAACAATGTGTCCTTTTAGCCATCTTATTCTGTTGTATTCTTTTTACGTCTGACTTGATGGTAAACTGGGGTTTCAGTTTATACTCAGATGGCCCGTTTCTACAGTTGCATTGTATTTTACCCCCAGAAGACTTGCTCAGTCCACAGTTCACATCAGTACACTATAAAGCTAAAGTAGCCAACTTTCACTGTTTTGATCGTGTAGCTGTGGCATTGATCTGGAGTTTGCTGGATCCACCACTGTTCTTATTCCATCTATGTATGTTATTTACAACATCTCTGTCAAGGAAAAACAAACAGCACTGACTACTTTATGTTGCTTCTAAAGACCAAAGGTCACATTAAGATTTCATATCAGCTGAAGTTATAAGAACACAATGCCACTAGAATAACAGATCACACTTGTTGTTGACACTAATCTTTTGTCACTTTTTTATGAGGACTGGAGGTATTCTTAATTTCTTTTAAAACCTCAGTTTTATGGTTCTAAGATGCTGTTGGTGTCTTTCAGACGTTTCGTGCTCCCTGCTCTTTGTCCTGTACAGTATTTCCGCATTATTTTCTTTGATGGAGCAGACTAATAAAACAAGTTTTACCACTCTGATGGCTTTCCCTGAAATGCTTATTTTCAACTTCCTGTTAAGGAAGTGATGAAGTGATTGTCTGTTTTTGTCTGTCAAAACCTTTTAAAAAAGTATTTTCAGTGGCATTAGTAGCATTATGTTATTATCTGCAATGCATGCAATGGCTTGCAGAATTTAAAGATCAATTAACCTTTAAACTAGTAGAGTAATACATGAATATTCAGTATTGGCACTGTTTTTAAAAGGACAACCCATGGGACTTTTTCTTACTGTGGATGATTCATTTATGCACATATGATCAAAAGTTCCCATTTTGATTTGTTATGTTGTGATCTAATAATAGATTATGATGTAATTACAATTTTTGTTAAGATTTTTGCAGTGAGCTTCATGTAAAGTTGGTCTAAAATATTTTAAGTGAAACAGTGTTTTGATTGACCCACGAAGGGTGATACATAACACAAAACAGGAGTAGTCTTTTACTACAAAAACAAGCGGATGTGGTGACAGCTACAACAGATAGTTCAGCAACCACACTGTTGCTCAGCTTTGAGGAAAACAAGAGGTGAGTTTTTGCTGCATGTATTGAAGGGACAGCTTTGAAGGTGAAAGACACAGTTTACAACCTTGATAATAAGACTGTGCCACAAGATTGTCTGCAGCAATTTACACCATCCCAATAACACTTCTCAGGTGGCTTTGAGCATTTCGCCAACAAAAAGCCACCCATCGTTTCAGATGATGGTGTGCCCCCCAGAGTAAACATGCCTCAGTCAGAAACTGTTAAGAAGAAACACATCAAGCAAGTTCACAAGTATACTCTCTTCCTGAAACTGCTATTTGTCCTCAAACAGGAATTCACATTTTTGCTGTATCTGGCCACCGTTACTGTTAACAGCTTGTAGCCCTTTGCCCCTGAAGTCTGTCACCTCAGCAGGAGTAACTACGGCAGCTAGAGCAAACACTACAGAATCAACATCTGAGAAAGTTAGAGCAGTTGTTTATAATGGTGCCTCTGTGTGTGTGTTTCATAATGTAGTGTTGGGTTGAAGAAAGAGAAACAGGATTTGAATTCAGGATGTCTTTTATTTTTCAGCAATACAGCAACTGGGTAAAACTCCTGTGGCCTCATGAGTGAAAGTTAACACTAACTTTCCACAAGCGAATTAAAGCGAATAGGGAAATAGGTGAGCCTTTCAACTTCCTAGTAAATATTTCCTATTTTCAAGTTTCTTTATGTCACTCAACCAAGTAAACAGGCAAATATAGTTCATATTACACACTTCCCTTTTGCCATAAGATAAAATGCAGCTAGTTATTTTTGACTTGGAAAGTCAGTTGGGGATCCCCCATCATGGGTGAGACAAGTGTTACATTTGCTGGCTGTGAAGTGACCTTCACTCAGTGGTGGAACGTAAAGTTCATTTACTTGACTTTGAGTTACTTGTACTTTACTTGAATATTTTAATTTTCTGCCACTACCCCTATGGCTAATGTAATGAAATGAAATAATTCTCCCAAATAGCCAGAGAGATTTTTCTTTTCTGTGTCACCCATAAATTTTACTACATTCTTTCAGAGTACAAGTCATTAGGTATCTGTCATTCAAACTGTGGGAAAATGTGGGTGGACGTTAACAGTCAAATGACTGCCTTTGTTCTGCAAATTACATTTAAAATGCAAATTATGTGTCCACAGTGTTTCACAACATTTCATAGTGAAATACCCCAGTGGACTCACACTACTGTATTAACCTAAAAAACAAGGTGTAGCCACAAACTAATACTCTGTAAGTTCTTAATGAAACTCCTCTTAATACATGATGTGCTTAGATGGGTGTGACAATACAATGTAAGCACAAACAATTACCACTCACTGAATACAGTGTAAGACAAGGAGATTCAAGACACCCTTAAACTTTGAAGGTCTTTGCTGCCTGACTGGTTTAAGAGATGTAGAGTGGATTTGGAGTATACTTGAGCTAGACCTTGAACTGCACATGCAGTGAAAAGGGTTTGCCTTGAGGAGAGCCCTGCAACTTGTTGAAAACTTCTTACTCTGTTCAAACAACTGTTCCAAATCAGAAACATCTTCAACAAATGACCACCACGTACACAGAAACCTGGAAGATAACTCTATTTTGTTGTTTACATTTCAACTGCACCTTATTTATTAAGGGTATTATTTATATATTATTCCTACGTAATTATTCCTTACTGCACTTCTTCTATATAAACCTCTTCAAATCAGTTGCTAGACATGCAATATCTGAACTATGTACTGATTTTATAGGCATAAAATACGGACCCTTTGATTGTTATGTATTTCTTCTTTTTTTATTTGTTATGTGTGAATTCACCAGATTTCTACTCAATTTTGTTGTACCGTGTGCAGTTAAAATAAAGGAATTCTATTCTGTTTTATTTGTTATGTCATTTAAAGCAGCTACAGCCAGCAGGCAGCTAGCATAGCTTAGTACAAAGACTGAAAATGGGGAAACAGCTCTCCTGGTTCTGTCCATCCCTAACAAAATCTGCTGATCAGAATCTCACCACAAAGAACCACAAAGAAACTGTCCTGCTAAGAGTTGATTTGAAGTTTTCCGGAAATTAAAATAAGAAATAACATGCAACTTCCTAGAAGGACTGATTTACTAACTAACTCTAAACTAATGTGTGTGAGATTTCCATAAGACTAATATCACTTTCTCTGAACAATTCCTGTATTTCTTGGTCTGTATTGGAAACTGCAAGTAGAAACACTTTAGTTGAGGTGGCAGGAGTGTTTACTTACTGTATTTTAAGAGTAACTGGTATTTTGTAGCATGAGACAAGGTGACTAACATTATTTGCAGTGTCGGCATTAAATCATTGGGTACACATCCTGGATCAGATAATCTTCGTTGATGGCTCAGTCTGAGAGGAACTGTGTGCACAGCTAAACCTATAGTCTGCCCTGACTGCTAGACTCAGCTTAACCAGTACTTAGACACACACACACACACACACACACACACACACACACAAATGCAGAAGTGGGGATCCTCCCTGGAACTCAAAGTTGGAGCCTGTGATTAAGGTGGGTGGATCCTCAAAACCACAATTCAGAATGGACCAATCCCAACAGCATCAAAAGAACATCTCAGGGCATATAAATCACATTTATTTCTTCCAGATGGTGACATAGCTGTGATGTAAGATACAACCAGGCCCTCCAGTTTAAAACTGCACCCTGTGGTATTTAAACTGTTTGGATGAAGGCGTGCTTAATATTCTGTTTTAGTACATTGCGTAATGTCATTTGTCTAAAACTTGTGTTTGTGTCAATGCTTTGCCAAGTCTCCTAACTTATATTACTGAATTAATACATTTAGGTTTCAAGCTATGCCTGTAATTCCCCTCCTGTCATAAACTACACATACTTATTTGATCATTTATATGTTGGTTATTTCGTTTTCTTGCTTTTAACGTATCGAGGCATTTAACCTCAAGGTGTGAGAACAGTAATTAAGCAAAGATTTTGCTAAACCAGCTGTAAATATAATGAATACAATATGTTTTGGGTAAGGTGCACAACAGCAAAAGCTTAATAAATAGCTTACTGTGAATATGATATTTTTCCTGTCCAAACAACATTCTAATAATGACACTTGATATGGTGTAATAAATCAAGTCACCGCCGAAATAAATTATATTGCTGATATTAAATATTTTTATATAACAGCTCCATAAAAGCAGCCTATAAATGCTACAATTAAATTCAAGTTTTATGTATTCGGTTTGGTTTTTCTGCAAGTTAAGTAATCATATAAATGTAACAGATATGGTAGGGGTGAACCACCAGACTTCTTCAATGACATAAAACTTTGGATCCCTTAACAAATTTAATATTTTTGAAACAATGGATAGTTATCTGTGAAAATTAAGATATATTAATAATATTAAACGTCCTACAAGCAGTTTTAAACTGGTTATGAAAGTCTCTTTAATACTGATGCCTTTATAGAGATCATCAGTGACAAGATTTCTATGTAGTTATTCCTAGTGCTGTAATGTCTGCCACCATGTCAGATTTGGTCGGATTTCCCTTGAAATCACAATAAAGATGCTGAAACATTACTGCTTTTGTCCACATGGGCTGCCTTAATTAACACAAAAGTTCCATGTAGCAGTGTTCTGTCGATACTGACAGTATGCATTCTTTGGCTTGAAAACA